CTTTTGGATGCTCCTTAGGGACAAGCCTCTCCCAGGCCAGGCAGCGGTGGCAGAGAGCTCCTGTGATGCAGCCTGAGCTGGGCGAGGAGCTGAGCCTGCAGCAAGATTGGACCAGGGCCTGCCTGGGAGCAGGAGAGGACAAGGGACCCTTGGGGGTCTCCCTGGGTCCTTACAAATCACAAAGCAGGTGGGAGGAGAGTTTGTTCAGGCACCGTGCAAGGTGCACCTGCTGGTGTGTGCTGTCCTATATTACTCAGTGTTGTTGCCTCTCTCACATTGCTGCATGTATGTTAGATGCTTTGATACCCCAAGTTTAACTGACCTTAAAATATCACTTACAGTACTCAGGTGTCATCAGCCATAAGTCTTCACGTGCTTGGAGGCTTTGTTTTTATTTGAATCAAACTTACAAGTTGAAGGAGTTAATTATTTCTGAAGCTTTCTTATGAGAGGCTGGCATTGTGGTGTAACATGGAAAGTGCTGCCAGCAATGCCAGTGTCCCATGTGGCTGTTGAACAGAGTCCTGTGTGCTCCACTTCTCAGTCAGCTCCCTGCCCTTGTGCCTGGAAGAGCAGCAGAAGCTGGCCTGACTGCTGGGACTCTGCAGCCATCGGGGAGAAGGAGGAAGGCGGTGGATCCTGCTTTGGCCTGGCGCAGCCCTGGCTCAGTGACCATCTGGGGAGTGAACCAGTGAGTGTGGGATTTCTGACATTAGCTGCTAGGGTACAGCACCAGGCTCTTTGGTTTTCTTTGTTTTAAGATTTGTTTTTGGGCCTGGAGCAGTGGCCTAGTGGCCAAAGTTCTACCTTGTATGAGCCGGATCCCATGTCGGCACCGGTTCTAACCCTTGCAGCTCCACTTCCCATTCAGCTCCCTGATTGTGGCCAGGGAAGGCAGTAGAGAATGGCCCAAGGTCTTGGGACCCTGCTTTGGAGGAGGGTAATAATAATAATAATAATAATAATAATAATAATAATAATAATGTTTAATTATTTTTTCTTACAAAGTCAGATATACAGCAAGGAGGAGAGACAGAGAGAAAGAACCTCTGTCCGATGATTTGCTCTTCAAGTGACCGCAACAGCTGGTGCTGCGCCGATTCGAAGCCAGGAACCAGGAACCTCCTCCGGGTCTCCCATGTGGGTTCATGGTCCCAAAGATTTGGGCCGTCCTCGATTGCTTTCCCAGGCCACAAGCAGGGAGAGCTGGATGGGAAGCAGGCCGCTGGGAGTAGAACCAGGGCTCATATGGGATCCCAGCACGTTCAAGGTGAGCACTTTAGCCGCTAGGCCACAGCACTGGGCCCTAATTTGTAATTTTACTTATCAGAGTTTTGATAACACTGTTTGTTAGCCTGGCTAAATATTTGACTATCTTATTTTTCTCAAGTCATTTTTTGTTTTGATTAATATTTCACACTTCTCTTAGTTTCACTTTCACTTACGTGGCTCTGCCTCTTATTTCTCATCTGCTAATCTGGAGTTTTGTTTGATCTTGTTTCTTTGTGGACAAAGTCGACAAATTTATTGGGATCAAATTGAATATGTAAGTTGCTTGGAGCACCATGGATGATTTAATCATATTAACCCTTCTAAGCCTGGATATTGGAATACTTTTTCCATTGTTTTGTCTCTTCTAGTTCTTTCATTGATGTGATTTAAAAAAAATTTTTTATTGGAAAGGCAGATTTACAGAGAGAAGGAGATACAACGAGAAAGATCTTCCATCTGCTGGCTCACTCCCCAAGTGGCTGTAATGGCCAGTGATGAGACAATCCAGAGCCAGGAGGCAGGAGCTTCTTCCAGGTCTACCAGATGGGTGCAGGGTCCCAAGACTTTGGTTCATCCTCTGCTGCTTTTGCTGGACACAAGCAGGAAATTGGATGGAAAGCAGAACAGCCAGAACATGAACCAGAGCCCCTATGGGATCCCAGCAGATGCAAGGTGAGGATTTAGCTACTGGCCCACCATGCTGTGCCCCAACAGAAGCATTTCTATCTCACCTCAGAGCTGCAGCATTAGGACCCCCAGACTGTCAGTGACATCTCTAATGTAAAAATCAGGGTCCCAGGGATAGCAGTCCTGGTGCAGGCCCGGGTCCAACATCAGGGTCAGGGGTGTGAGCTGTGCCCTCTGTGCCCAGCAGTAGGGATCTGGTTCCCACCTGGGACCACCCAGGGTGAGGCCATGGATTCTGCTCCTGCCTGTGCAGCCTCAACCAGGGTCTCTGTATTTTCTCTTCATTGAATCAGCTACAGTGTCACACAGCCAGGTGAAGGGCAAATGAGAAACTCCTAGATTTCATTGTGGGCTCCAAGGAGGGAGAATCCATGTGGGGCACCATGTGAGGCAGCAGGATACAGGGAGGTTCTGTGTGTTCAGCTGTGGCCTCTTCCTGAACCTTCCTCCTGGGCTGCCCGGGAGTGTCTCCATGGGACACCTGATCCACTCTCAGTGTTCTCTTGGGGTTCTGGCTCCACTTCCTGCCCAGTGTCCACCCAGTGCACGCCCTGGGAAGCAGCAGATGATGCACCAGGACACTTGGACTGAATTCTGGGCTCTGGGCTTTGGCGTGCCCCTCCTCAAGCTGTGTGGACATTTGGGGAGAGAGCCAGAGGATGGGAGAACACTCTCCTTTTCAAAAAGATGAAAAGAAAATCTTCAAATAAATAAAAACAATTTTTTATGCCTTCCCTATCTTGTAGCACTCTTTGTTCACAGGCCCAGGGGTTCCCAATGTGGGTGACAGCAATGTTGATCTTGGGGCTCTCAGAGAACACAGACGCTTTGACCTTGGCTGTGCCCTGTCTGGCATGTGAACACTGGGAGCTGAAACATCACAAGGTAAGAATGTAGTGACTGCCCCTCCCCCCCGACATCCCAGCTAAACAGGAAGGTGCCTGGTGAGGGTGAGGCCTGGACTTGGAACTCCCTTCCCTGCCTGGCACCATTGCCCAGCACAGCAGCATAGAGAAGGTCAGAGGTCAGGGGAAGGTGTGGCTCAGAACCAGGTGTATGTGTTTCCCACTTAGTAAACCTGGATCATAAGTGACACTGCTGTAAACTAGGCTCCTTGCACCCAGATCTCTGCCAGAGCTGTCCCTCACTGTGTGGTGTCCAGGGCCCAGGTGTGCTCACGTGACCATCCTTCAGGGGAGGCTGAGGTCCAGGTGGGAGTCCTGTCTCCCTCCTGCTGCCAGAGTGTGCTCTGGAGGTGGTGCCATCAGCATCCACCTGAGCCACTTGCAGAGCCCCTGACTGCTCCAGACTGTCCCAGCCCTCCCAGTGCTCACGGGATCCCCTCAACATGTCTGTGGACCCTGACTCTTACAGTGACCCTAGCCCTGCAGGTAGTGGGGCTGTGGTTTTACCCCCTCTCTCTCCCCCTCGACTTAGCCCTGCAGACCCAGTGCTCCTTCTTGCACCCTCTCTCATGATTCTCACTCACTCCCTGGGTGCTCCATCTCTGCTCCTGAATGCAAATGTGGTTCATGTGGAGCCCAGTCCTCAGTGAGTCTCCCACACAGATATTTCTTCTCCTCGTGGTCACTGCCAGCCCTGCAGTGTCACTTCTCACCAACATCCTGGTTTCTGCACTGAATGCCTGGGTGGTCTCTTATGGAATGCACCCTCCCGGGTTGCCCTTCTCCTACGGTGATGCCATCCACCCAACGGCACGGCCTGAAGCCCTGGGTGTCCTCCTCACCTCCTCCTCTTTCCCTGGATGCAGTCCACAGGAAGTGCTGTGCATCCATCTGCAGAAGGATCCAGAACCTCACGTCTCCACTCTGCCCATGCCCACACCCACCACAGTGACTGGCATCCCTGCCTGGGCTTCACAGGAGCCTGTAGAGCTTTGTCTCCGGCCTTGCAGTCTCTCAGCCCCATCATCACACAGCAGCCAGGGTGGTCCTTGGACAGAAGCTGCCCACGTCCTTCCTATGCTCAGAGCTGTCTCATGACTAGCATCTCACTCAGAACCAGGGCCAGTCATTCAGTGTGCATGCAGCCTGCTGGATGGCGGTGTCCCGACCAGCCTTCCTGATGGCTCCCTGCTCTGTGTGCACTTGCTCCTGCCCAAGGCATTTGCACTGGCCGTCATCCTCCCCCACAACTTCTTTGCAGATGACTAACTGTGTCCTTCATCCTTCCTCATGGTCATCCCCTCAGGGCAGTTCATGCTGACCATGATGGTGAGACAGCCAGCTGCTCTGGCCCTCACACCCACCCTGGACCACCTTGCCCAGCACTGAGTTTGACCCACAGCAAAGTCAGCTGAGTGATGAGTATGTAGCACCTGCCCCTTCCAGACCCGGTGGTTCATCAGTGGAGCCTGAGACAGAGGCTGCCTGTGGCTGCTGCTGAGCTGGTCCCCTCCTGCTGGAGTCCCCACGGCCTGTGCTTTCTCTCAAGTGTCCTCTGCCCTCCTGCTTCCCTCCTACACTGCCTCCTGCACACACAGAAGTGAAGGCCACCAGAGCTCACACACAGGAAGAGCAGAAGCAATCAGCCAATGACACTAAGGAACAAAGTGAATACAGGAAGATGGAGCTGAGGGATGAACTTAAGCCCTAGATTTGGCAGCCATGGACCCATGCAGCCTCCATTGCCTTGGGCCATGAGACAGGGCAGCCTAGCCACGGCTGAGTGCTGTGATGGCAGTTGTTGGTGGGCATGCCCTACCAGAGAGACCAGGACACAGGGGCAGCTGAACCGGGTCAGTAGTGACCAAGAGAAAGCATGATGGATGGAGCACTGCCTGGGCACAGCCCCATCCTCACCCAGGGGCTCCCAGCCTCTCCTGTCCCCACCTGCAACAGACTCAACACAGGAAACACAGGTTCTAGAAGGCTCTTGGTGCTTCTGTTTATTTCTCTCTGTCAAATTTTATTATTTCATTGCATGACACAATTGCATAGGCACTGGGATTCCCCCCAACCCCTCCCCAAACTGCCCCCCACCCAAATTTTTGTAATTTCCTCTTTTAATTTTCTCAGCAACACCTGGTGATTGGAATTGTTAAAAATGAATTGTACAGTGTAGGATGAAGCTGCAGCAGATGCACCTGACTTGAGACAGGGTCAGAGGTGCCCGTGCTGGGCTGGGAGGGCCAGGCTCCCACCTCACACTGTGCCCACAGGAACACACTCAGCTGCCTTGGCAGGAAGGGAGGGCAGGGCTTTTTGAAGAAAACCAAGATGAGGACTTCAGCAGGTCTGTCCCAACAAGGCGGTTGTCTCACACTACAGACACAAGGTGAAACTTTGAGGTCATTGTTTTTGGGGACAGGAACAGCACAGCACACTGTGAAAATGTTCAGATTCAAGGAATCCTCCAGCCCCTCTGTGTCCCCCCACCCAGGTTCCTCTCCCCTCCAGGCCCTCCAGGTCTCACCTTTCAAACTTTCAGAGAGGAGTCAGAGCCCTGGGAACTGTCCCCACCTGGCAGAACCAATCAGGAGTTGGTGAGAGCCCCGGGGGTGTGGCTGACGGAGGAGCTACAGGGTGGGTGGGGCAGCTTCTCCAGGGGCAACTGACTAGAGCAAGAGCCTTGGGGACTCCCCCATCCCCAAACACACCCCAGTGCTTACCTGCAGCCTTAGTGTAGATCCCTCGTTTCCCACCTGTGAGAGAAAACATCCAGGGAGAGGCAGGGACTCAGGACTGGTTCATCTCAGAGAAGTTTCTAGAACTGTGGCTACAGACCCAGGAAAGGTTAGGAGGCACCTCCCCTGGAAGTGTGTCCTCAGCTGGGACCTCCCCCTGACCTGGTGCTGCTGGAACTCAGGTCCCTGTGAACAAAGTCATCCCCTGGAGTGTTTGTTCTCCACCTTCACTCAGATTCACACTAGAGCCAGTGTGAGCACCTGGGGCTCAGTGAGGGGTGCAGGTGTGTGTGCATGGTGCAGCCCAGGAACGGGGTAGGGGGACCATCTCCCTGGGGGACAGGGGACTCAGACCCAGCCCTCACCCTAACCTACCTGAGCACTTCCTCCTAATCATCATCACAGCTCCAATGACCACAACTACCAGGACGGCTGCAATGATGACAACTCCCCACATGGGCACAGTGGGCTGAGGAGGCTCTGAGAGGGGAAGGGACAAAAAGGGGCTCTGACTCCAGGGCTCATTCCCACCCTTGCTGAAGGCTCTGTCCGCTCTGCCCTCCTTACCCCATCTCAGGGTGAGGGGCTCAGGCAGCCCCTCATGCACCACATGGCACGTGTATCTCTGCTCCTCTCCAGAAGGCACCAGCACAGCTGCCCACTTCTGGAAGGTTCTGTTCCCTGTAGGCCTGGTCTCCACCAGCTCCATGTCCTGGTTCAGGTCTTCCCCATCGCGCTGCCAGGTGAGTGTGATGTCCTTGGGGTAGAAGCCCAGGGCCCAGCACCTCAGGGTGGCCTTCTGGTCAGAGACTGGGTGGTGAGTCACCTGTGTTATGGGTGGGTCTGAGGGGAGATTTGGAAAATTCAGGCCTTTCATGTTCTTCCCCTGACACTAAAGTTACACTCAGTGACCTTCCTGAGAGTGGACAGGGGAAATGGGGTGGTGGAGGAGGTCAAAACCCTGACCCTGCCTGGATAAAGACAATGCGACAAATGTAGTGTTTGGAAAGTTCTAGAATCAGGTATCTGGCTAGGGTAGGAGGGCCCAGGTCTCTGAGGGGAAGATTGCCTGGAATGAAACCTCCCAGTACACTGGCTTGAGGCTGAGGACTGGCCTGGGAGGTGTGAAGATCACAAAATCTTGGTGGAGTGCAGGGTACTGAGAGGGTCCTTTCCAGAATCTTCTGTGCCTGCCCCTCCCCCGCCCGTGTCCGTCCCCGGGTTCCTCCTCTCCTGAGGGAACAGTGGGTCTCTGGCTCTGAACCCCAAACTCAGGTGGACGTCCCTGCTGTGGCCCGGCAGGAGAGGGGTACACTGGCCTGGCTCCCACTTTCCTCCCCTCCTTGCTGCCCCAGCCCCGGGGGAGGTGGGTGAGGGCGGCCCCTCCCAGCCCCGCGCACCTGCTCTCTGCAGAGTGTCCTTTCCCATCTCCAGGTATCTGCGCAGCCACTCCACGCACTCGCCCTCCAGGTAGGCCCTGTCTTGCTCAGCAACACCCTCCGCCTCCCACTTGCGCTTGGTGTTCTGAGCCGCCGTGTCGGCCGCGGTCCAGGAGCTCAGGTCCTCATTCAGGGCAATGTAGTCCGTGCCATCATAGGCATACTGCCGGTACCCGCGGAGGAGGCGCCCGTCCGCCCCGACCTCGCAGCCGGACATCCTCTGGAAGGTGTGAGAGCCTGTCCCGCCCGCGGTCAGCCCTGGCCACGCAGCTCCGCCCCGCCCTCACCGACCCGCGGGGATTTCAGCTGAAACCGAAAGCGAAACCCGGGCGTGTCCCGCGGCTCCTCCCGCCGAGGGTCTCCGCGGGGCGCGCAGTCTCGGGGTGGGGGACCTCGGCCCCGGGGACCCGGAGCGCCCTGGGCGCACGTGGGGAGGGTCGGGTCACTCACCGGCCTCGCTCTGGTTGTAGTAGAGGAGCGCGGTCTGAAGGTTCACGCGGTTCATCTGTTCGTTGTTCTTGGAGATCTGTGTCTGCCGGTCCCAGTACTCGGGCTCTATCTGCTGTATCCATTCTGTCCTCGGTTCCACTCTCGGGTTCTCGGCGTCGCTGTCGAAGCGCACGAACTGCGTGTCGTCCACGTAGCCCACGGCGAAGAAGCGGGGCTCCCCGAGTTCGGGCCGGGACACGGCGGTGTGGAAATACATCAGGGAGTGGGAGCCTGGGGGAGAGAGGGGCTGAGACCAGGGCCGACCCCGCCCGGAGCGGGACCCTTGGGACCGAGGAGTGCGGAGCTGGGTTGGGGAGGAGACTAAGGGAGTGTGGGGACCACGAGATGAGGCGGTGAGGAGAGGGGAGGGTCTTGAATAAGCCGGGGTCGGTGAGATGGCGAGGTGTAGGGGGTGTGAGGTCTGGGAGAGGCTTCCCGGGGTCCCGTGTCCCCTCCGCGCCCCCCTCGCTCCTGCCCCGCAGAGCCCGTCTCCCTCCCGACCCGCACTCACCCGCCCGGGTCTCGGTCAGGGCCAGGGCCCCCGCGAGCAGCAGGAGGAGGGTCCGGGGCGCCACGGACTTCATCCTGGAGCGCTCAGAGGACTCCGATCCTGAAGCCTCGCAGTCGACTTTATAACCGGGATAGGACGGCGCTGATTGGCTCATCTGAAGTCGCTCGCCCAATGGGAGTGCGAGATGTGCCCGCGTCACGAGTGTCCGGGCAGAAGGAGCTCACTCAGGCTGTGAGAGGGGAAGTGACCCTGGAGGAGGTGGGGACTCCCCTGCACTTGCTTCCCTGGCCCAGACCCGCCCTGGGACTGAGACCCTGAGGGCCAGGCGGGTACCAGGGACTGTGCCCTGACCCTGTGCCCGGCTGCCCAGGCCTGTGTGATGTCCCCTCCTGAGGATAGGCCCGGAGCTGACTGAGGGATCCTGAGAGACCTGATCAGGACGTGCCCATTTTTAAGATTAGTTATACCTAGACCCATGCGTGTTTTATTGTTCAGCTTGATTCACATTAGGAGTATATTAGATTTCAGGCAGCCTCACAGGATGCATTAAATACAGAATGCTGGGATCCCAGCTGGGCTCTGTGAACATTCCTGTTAATATTCAGGGTTCAGCATGTTGAGGCCTGGGCACCTGCTGCTTTAGAATCCTGAGCTCTGGGCCCTGCCCAGTGGCCTAGAGGCTAAAGTTTCATCTTGCATGTGCCTCGATCTCGTATGGACGCCATTTCTAACCCAGCAGCTCTGCTTCCCATCCCACTCCCTGCCTGGGAAAGCAGTAGAGGAAGACCCAAAGACTTGGGGCCCTGGACTCCCATTTTAGACCCAGAAGAAGCTGTGGACTCCTAACTTTGAATTGACTCAGCTCCAGCCATTTGTGACCACTTGGGGAGTGAACTTTTCCCCGTCTCTCCTCTTCTCTGTGTATCTGACTTTCTAATAAAAATGAATCTTAAAACAAAACAAAAGATTCCTGTCCCCTGTCCTCACCTCCTCTTAGCTCTTCCTTTACCATTTCCTCCTCTCCCTGTGGTCCCTCCCACCCCCTCTCACTCTTGAACTGAAGCCCTAGCAGGGTCCCTCTCCTGCCACCCAGGGAAACTTTCCGCTGTGGTCAGCTGCCTTGTTGCTGCTAGTCCGGGGATCATTGCTTCATGAAAACAGCCCAGCGGCAGCATGTGCTGTGGGTCAGTGAGTTCTGTCATTTCCAAGGCCAGCACCACACATCCTGGGCTTCTTGGAGTCCAGGCTGTTCTGCTTCCATCCACCTTCCTCTTGATGTACCAGGGAAGGCAGTGGAAAATCCACAAGGGATTTCTCACCCACTGGTTCACTCTCCAAAGGTTGCTGTGTCCTGGGCTGGATCCAGGAGCCCACAACTCCACTGAGGCCTCCATGTGGGTACAGGGCCACAAGCACATGGACCATCTTTCCCTGCTCTCCCAGGTGGGCGAGCAGCGAGCAGGGCAGTCAGGAGTCACACAGATGCTCTCATCTGGGGTGCTTGGATTGCAGGTGGCAGCTTACCCTGCCCAGTGCCACAGTGCCTTCCCTGACCCTGCCTTTCATATAAACAAGTAGACTGTTAGGTAACTCACTGAAATGGCTGCATCTCGCTTTAGAGAAGCCTCTAGAATGTAGGGCCCGTAAGCACAGACTTAGGGTTGTTGATCAAAGCTGTAACCCCAGCACATGGTGATACATGCTAACAAAAGGCACTCAATTAATCCAAAGAGCCAAATAAGATGGTATTAGTGTTTAATTGCATCATGTGACAAGCATACAAAACAGTACAACAAACATTAGGGAAGGTTTTGTCTCATGGGAGGAGTGTTCACCAGAGTTCACGAATCCCTCCAGCAAGGATGACACTTCCTGGGGTGTCAGGTGCACACTGGGACCCAGGTATGGCTAGCTTTCCATTCCTGCATCACAGGTTACCACACCTGGGTGCTCAGAACCACACTCCTCCCTGTTCCCATTCCCTGGTCAGAGTCCAAGCCTGGTGTGGCCGTGCTCCTGGGCAGGCTCTCACAGAGCTGAGCTGTCCTCTTGAGGTTGGAGTCCTCCTCCAGCCTCCTTGGAGCTTGGGGCAGAGTCGAGCTCCTTGCAGGTGGAGGCCTGTGGTCCTGTGTGTGGGACAGCTGTCAGGGTTCAGTGGGGAGCAGCTCCCACTGCCAGGGCACCCACCTACTCTTCTCGGGGGTCCTCAGAGTCAGGGACTGGGGGGATGTCATGCCTGACACTGAACCCCTCCCACTCTCAGTCCCTCTCTTTATCTTGGTCACAACTCCTTTAACTCCTCTACTTCTCTGGCTCCAGTCTTAGCATTCTGTGTTTAGACGGAATACATTGTTTCCATTTTTAGCTCCCACATGAGAGACAGCATGCAGTATTTATTTTAGTGTCTGGCTCATTTCACTCAACATAATGTTCTCCACTTCCAACCATTTGGATGCAAATGAGAAGACAGGACTCTTTGTATAGCTGAATTAGTATTCCATCATGTTTGTATACTGTATTTTCCTCTATCCATTCATCTGATGATGGACATCTTAGTTGATGTCAAATCTGGGCCATTGTGAGCAGTGCTGCTGTAAGCAGTGCAGCAGGTTCCATGACACAATGAGTTCAGGTCTTCCTGTTGTGTGCTCAGGATGGGATTGCTAGATCATACGGAAGCTGCAGTTCAAAGATTAACACAGTGTTTTCTACCATAGTTGTACTAATTTATATTTCTGATAACTTTGTATGTGATTTTCCCTTTCTATACATTTTTGCCAGTATTTGTTAAAAACCAGAATAAACCAAAGCAAACCAATCCAGTCAGTCCAGTTAAGACATGGGTAAAGGAACTAGTTTGGAGTTCTTGGAAGAACTAGAAATGGCCAATATTTGGAAAATGCTCAACAGTAGCAGCTGTCAGGGAAATGTAAATCAATACTCCGAGGTGCTGTCCCCTGGCCCCGTCAGAATGATTGTTACAAACAGTGACAGACACTTCAATCTGTGCAGAGAGAGAGCCTGGTGCTTTGGAGGGCTCCCCAGACGGGCCAGTCCAACCCAGAGTAACCCCTGTCTCAGGGCCAACTGATGGTGACCTTCATTTCATTTAAAAAATCAGTTTCCAGGGACATCCACATCAACAGTTGGTTGAACACAGGGATGTGTGCAATTGCCCATGGGGTGTGTATAGGGGCCACTATAGGATCAGGCTGCCTGGTTTGGCCTTTCTTTTGATGTTTAATTGAATTCAGGTTGAAAACGGAAAGTCAAATAGATGATTGTGAACAGTAATTAACTGCATCCTGACTAACCATGGTCATTCTTGTATCCTGAAACCAAAGGACACATTTATCATCTTTCAGTTACTGTCAGTTAAATTGCAATCATTCATCCTCTTTGGAAGCTCTTTCATATACTATGGCACATACCAAATTTCTCATAATTTAGCAACTGGAAACAATGACCAAAAGTTTATTGTATCCCATTGTTTTACATAGAAATGTACATCTGTTTATTTTCATTTGTTTGAAATGAAGGCTTCTGCTGAGACTGTCCCAGGGAGCAGTGGAGCTGAGAGCCAAGGCTGCCCCATCTGAGGCTGGGCTGTGGTGCGCTCTGGTGGGCGGTGGGTGGAAGAGGCCTCGGGTCCTTTCTTCAGGGCTGTGTGTGCCAAGGCAGATGGCTTTTCCAGAGCTGGTGGGTTTCCAGAAGACAGAGAACAATGGAAGCTCCAAAATGCTTAACATCTTGAACCAGAATCCATGCTAGGCCAGCCTCATGCTTGAAACTGGGACTTTAAGTCCTAAATATCCTGATCTTCACATACATGATTACTGTATGCGTTTCTGGACACTGTGGCATTTTAATGCATGTGTGGAGTGTGTACTGATCCATATGGTCAATTATGATTTCCATGTCCTTTTCAGTACATTATCTTCTCTTTATGTTTTGAAGATTTATTTCTGTATTGGAAAAGGCAGAGTTACACAGGGAGATAGTGAGAGCTGCCAGGCTGACATTGACCAGGCCAGAGTCAGGAGCCTGAGCCTTCATCCAGCTCTCCCCCGTGGGTGACAGGGATCCAAGCCCTTGGGCATCTTCCATTACTTTCCGTGACACAGCAGGAAGCTGGATGAGAGATGGAGCAGCTGGGATTTGAAGTGGTGTCCCATATAAGAAGGGTGTTTGCCTCTCAACCTGTTACCCTCCACAGTGCCGAATCCCTGTTTGCTGTTTAGCGTTGCACATATAAGAGAGAACAGGACACATCTGTCTCTTCATGTCTGACTTGTCGTTAGCATAAATGTTTTTTTAGTCTAGCCATTATGCTGTAAATGATATTAGTCATTTTGAAAAAGTATTACTTATTTGAAAGAACTACAGAAGAGAGGTGAAAATGAAGAGAGGAAGAAAGGAGGAGAGAAGTGAAGGATTAGGGTAGGAGAGACAAGTTTGTAACATCTGCCGCTCACCTCCCAAAGAGCTGCAGTGGCGAAGCAGGGCGGGTCTCACACTAGGAGCCAGCAGCTTCTTCCAGGTCTCCCACATTAGTGCAGCACCCCAGTCACATCAGTCATCTCCCACTGCCTTCCCAGGTGCATTAGCAGGGAGCTGCATCAGAAGCAGAGGATCCGGGACACCAAGTAGCACCTGAATAGATACCAGCATCACAGGCAGAGGCTTTACCCACTATGCAACATTGATCCTTATCTCTCATCTTTTGATATTCACCCATCAAATTGCATGACAGCCAACATAGACACTACTGGAGGGAGGTGATTGTGAGTGATGAACTAGTCCTGGAGGCTCAGTGTGACCAGGAAAGCTTCCTCCAGCACCTGTGTACC